TTAGAAGCTAATCCATAAATATTTTAGTTATAGTGAGACTGCGTCTGTGATCTTTTCCCAGGGGCCACAAACTCCACGGCACTCAGCACCAGCATCTTACTATATAGTTCACCATCAGTGACCTCTTTGTTTTCATTCATCAGATGCTCATGTCCTTACACTTGAGTACCAAGTGATTCATCCACTGGTCCGTCTCCCCAGATCATCAACTGCTGCTTTATCTTTCCTCTGCCTGCTTTTTAAGTTCAAGAACCACTTTTAAATAATGGAGTCTGTGGTTGGAGACTTGGCTCAGTTCACACAAACATGAAGACCCGAGTTCAATCCCCAGAACTCAGATCAAAAAGCCAGGCCTAGAGGTACACCATTAGCTCCTTGTCCCAGCACTGGGGAGGCAGAGACAGGTGGATCCTTTCGATCCACCTTACTGATCAGCAAGCTTAGCCTACCTGGTGACTTCCAGGCCTGTGAGAGACCCAGTCTCAAAAGGTGAATGGTGTCCAAGGGGCAACATCGTAAGGTCTTTGACACATGTATAGACATTGGTTCACTCACACTCTTATAACCACACATTTGTACACACACACACACACACACACACACACACACACAAATATTAGATGATGCAATCTGACATACTCCCAATGTGAAAAGGCTGCCCTCATTAATTATTGATGTCACAATTTTTCTCTTTTAAAGTAATATTTTCTTCTGTTTTTAATTCTGCCTTTCCTTCTGTTTACTGTGCGAATCATTAATTATCCCTAATGATTCTCTTTTATAATTTAGCAGTTCTGTTGGGTTTTAGTTCTTGTGTACATTGCAAGAGAAATTGTGTTCTCATGTTCTCTGGCAGTAGATATAGTTGGGCAAATTCTTATGGTAACCCCCCCTTTCTTTGTATGTCTATGTTTGTGGTGAATAAATTAAACAGATGTCTGTGGGCAAGCCTGTCAGACAGTTGAGGTTTTGTTTTATGGCGTTTATAAATTATTTTGCTGTCTTTGAGTTATGGACCTTTTGTGAGTTTTTGATACAAAGTCTCACTGCATAGTCCTAGCTGTCCTGGAACTCACTGTATAGGCCAGTATGGCCTCAAACTCACTGAGATCAACTTGCCTGTATCCCCCCTAGTTCTAGCATTAAATGCATGGGCCAACATGTCCCGCCAAGTTTTGGATTTCCATGCACTCTTTAATATCCCACTTGGGGCCCTCTTGCTCGGTTCCTCAGGCTGCCGATCATTTTCTTAACAGCGCTGGAGGCTTGCAGATAGATGTCTGTCTTTCTGCACATGTTCTTGCATTGTGCTCTGTGTGCCTATTCCCAGTCTCTTCTTCTAAGGGTCCTAGGCACGCTCTAGTGACCTCATTTAAGGTAGCCACGCGGTTAAAGGTCCTGTCCCCCGACAGATAGTCTCATTCTGAGGTGGCGAGGGTTAGAGCTTCAGGACACAGTGCGTGAGGGGAAGACACGTGTGAGCCCTGAGTAGCCCTCTCTCCTGTCCTCCTCTGTTTGTTCTCAGCAGGAGCACACTGGGTGATGGAGCCCAAGTTTGTGTGCAGCTTCTCTCGTGTGTAGCTATTGCTTTCAAGGTGGGTTTGCAGGAGACACGGGCTGAGGCCTCCCTCAACATGCTTTTTACCCTTCATTCCCAAAGATCAAAAGTCTAATAACTTTGGGTCTTTCTTTTGAAACCTAGTATTCCCAGGAGGAGGGCCTTCAGAATTTTAATGGGCACATGTTAGATCCTGGTCTAGACAAAGAGTCTTTCTGAACCTGGAGAGCAGAACCGAAGCTTACAGCATCCATTATCCTTATATATGGGACAGCAGCAAGTGGGGGGAGAGAGAGAGAGAGAGGGTGCTATAACACCACGCGAGCATACTGACAAGACTGTCATGTGTATGAGAACAGAGTCCTCCTATGTTAGTGGATAGTCATGTCTATCCCTAGTATATTCACATTCATATCCTACCCAAGGCAAGGCTGACACATAGGCCATTTCTATCTAATGCCTGTCTAGTCACGCTTAATGTATTTACTAAAGACATCAGCAAAACATGCTAACTTATAGTGGTATTATTTAGAGATTTAACATTTGTACCATATACCTCTCCTCTCTGGTGTCTCCTTTGGGCCATGCGATTGCTAGCTACTAGACATTTGTAGTCAAATATCCCTCTGTTTGGGAACTGTGGATTCTCTTTCTCATCGCTCTCTGCACAGTGGCTGAGCTCATCCTCTGTAGTCATCTGTCCGAGGATCCTCTTGCTGTTAGCATGCTCACTTGTGCAATTACAGTCTGTCCAAGTCCTCATCCTCCAAAGGAAGGCCTGATTATATAGCTACCTATTTTTTAAAATGTCTTAGAAACTATTAGGTAGATTCAGAGTGAAGTCTGAAAAGTGTAGGTCAGGGAGTCACAGAACAAACGAGCGGCTGTCATAGCTGCCTCATGAGTCTCTGAGGGGCAGCACGTGTTGACCCAGCCAGATACTGTTATGTTAATCACGTCTTATCCCAAGGAAATACAAAGCCCTTTAAGTGACTTGTATGTTTACTTAGTTTTTGAATCTTTAAATGATTTGTGACTTAGAATAAAGATGGGGACGCGGAAGTGACTCTGAGCTCCCAACACTTAGCCCTGTCAGCAAGTTCATGTGCAGAGTCACACACACACACACACACACACACACACACACACACACACACACACACACACACAGAGAGAGAGAGAGAGAGAGAGAGAGTTTTTTTTTTTTACCATAGACGCTTTCTGAGTAAAATTTTAGACCTTATGTCTCATCTTTCCTAAATGCTATTTCCTAGAATATCCATGGGAATAATTTTTTCCATAGCCACAGAACCCCCCCAATCAGGATGGTGATATTGACACATTACTGTTATGCAGTCTTTGCATAGGACTTAATATTTTACCAGAGGGCTCACTATTGTGAGAGGAGAAAAATTCTAGATCAGGGTTATATGTCACACATAGTCATTCTTTCCATTTTTTACTTTTTGTTTCTCTTTGATTTTTGAGATTGGATCTCCCAGTGTTTGAGATTGGGTCTCCCAGTGTTTCCCAAGCTGGCCTTGAAATTGGGCTCTTCCTGCCTCTGCTTTCTTGAGTGCTGGGTTCACAGGTCTGTGCCCTATATTCAGCTCTCTCTGTTGTCTCTCTTAATCTGGGACAATCCCATGGTCTTTTGGTCATTTATGATCACGACCTTTTTAAAAAGCATGGGCCATTTTTTAAAATAGCATGCTCTTTATTCAGAGTTTGTATGTTTCCTCATAAATGGATGCAGCCTTGGCCTTCTGGAAGACTGCACCAGCAGTGGGGTTGCTTCTGTGCATAGCATCATGAGCGTGCGTGTACCCCATCACTGCTGATGTGGGTGTGTTCAGGTAGTACATCCATGCTGTGCTGTCACTGTGCATTCTTTCGTCATCAGTGAAGTAGCTCTGTGCACAGTGTTGTCCACAGTGTTGTGAGTGCCTCTTTACCCCATCTCTGGTGAGGTAGGTGTATTCAGGTAGTACGTCCAGCGTTTCCACACTGTGCAGTCACTACTATGGGTTTGGCCCGTAGTAGGTTTAAATCTTGAATAGCTAAGAATGCTGGGATGTTTTTTCACAAGAAATTGGTGTTGAGTATTAGCAGAAGGGTTTTGCACTTGCTTCTTGTAGAATATTGTTTCTCACAAATCAGTTTGATTTAAAATATATATGCATTAACTGTCTAATAAGATCTTTATTTAGTGTCACATTTATTTTACAAAGAGTAGATGCTTATTTTAGCAATGATTTGTCATTAAGATTATGTCAAAATGTCTTAAAATGTTGTTGAAACTGTAAACAAACTCATAACACACACAGAGCTAATTATGGATGCCATCTGTTTATTTTTACCAAGCTTTTTTTTTAAAGACCATGGCATTGTCTGCTTATGATAAGCTTCAAGATTATTGTAATGACTAAGCCCTGTCCTTCAATTAGTGCAGTCAAGGCCAGAAGAGAATTTGCTTGTTCGGTGACCTTTTCCTGTGTTCACGTATGAAATATGACATGTCACGATAAAGAAATTATTGTGACGTACACATAGAACTTAAGTTTCAAAGTAGTACATATGACCAAAGCTTTTCTGAAATTTTTAGGACTTGAGATTTTAGATGAAAGATCATGTTCTTTTCTTTTTTTCCAGTGCTGCAAACGGCTTTATTTTAGCCCAAGACTAAAGATTTGTAAGCAAACAGTCAATCAAATTGTAATGATATATCCCTGCCCATGTGGCCGTATGTCAGTTGCGTGTGTCTGCACATATGTATCCCACGTGTTGGTGTGGAAGGCCAGGCAGGTACTCCCCTGGTGGCGGCAGCTGAAGCAGTTGCCCGCAGTCTGCTGAGGAAGCAGAGTGGTCTCCCTCACCCTTCTCTGCCAACGTGCATGCTAAGCACTGCCCAAACCTGTCTGGAGGGAAAGCAACCCGAAGGCTCCATCTGCTGCTTTCTGCCAAGCCGCACGGATGCAAGATTACGCTAATCTTGCTGCTTGTCAGGACAGGTTAGCGAAAGCACGAGCAAGTGGGCACAGCTCAGACTAGACGTGGTCTGGAGAACACCAGCCACCTCGCCACACATGCTGCGGCAAGCGCACAGAAGGGGCTGACTGTCAGCCATGTTGAGAACCAAAAGAAACGTAAAGTTGAACTGTTAAGTGTTGGGCCACAAATGAATCAAAACCAGAAAAAAACAAAAAAAACAAAAAACCAAACACCAAAGCTTACAAATGATCTCAGGTTATTCTGACCATCATCTGCGAGGAATTGTGTTTATTCTTTCCTTTTGTGTATTTCAATGAAAATTTTTCTTCAGGTATTACTAAAGGTTAAACAGAATTAGCTTCACTTGACTCTGAAACTTGGAATTTTCATTGTTGATGTCCATTTATTTGCCTTTTTCTTCGCCTATTAACCGGCGGTCTTGGCCTTACAGGTTGAGCATCCTGTCACAGAATGCATTACCGGCCTGGACTTAGTCCAAGAAATGATTCGTGTTGCTAAGGGTTACCCCCTCAGGCACAAGCAAACGGATATTCCCCTCAGTGGCTGGGCAGTTGAATGTCGGGTTTATGCTGAGGTAAAATGTGTTTTGATGGGAGGCAGGAGGGTGGTTATGTCCAAGGCAGGGCAGCCAGTATGTCTAAACTGCAGGCAGATTGGGGTATGATAACCTGTGGCCAAAACAGATGAACACTAGGTAATCTGGAACAACTAAAACCAGAATGGAGTTTAAGCAAAGCTCCTGTTTTCCTGGGTGGCGAAATCAACAGCAAATGAGCCTCGGCTGAGTGTTGTTGATTTTGTCCTTTATGATTCCATGAATTGTAAAGCTTTTAGTAAAGCACATACTCTTGATTCATAATTTTAATTATGGGTATTGCCAAAGTCTTAGTCTGACAGCTTATGCAAATAAGATGTCAGATCATTCAGTACCCAAAGATGCTTTCTTCAGAAGAATGCAACGTAAATATTTGTATCTTTTAGATGCAAAAATATTCTGCTGATGTACAACAGTGAGTTAGTAGTATCTTTAAAATTGCTGTGAGTCATTTTGAAATCTTTAAGTAGCTCAACATTAGGCTTTGTCCCCATGTTACTGCTCTGGGTCATATGTGAAGTGCTGACCCCGAACTCTCCAGTTCTGTTCCCCATGATGTTATGCGTGGAACACGTGTGTATGTGGAAGCATGTGCAACTTTTTTTCTGAGTCTTTGCTTGAAGAACTCAGCTTCTCAGGTTGACCACATGCGAGCTGTTTGGAAAAGTAAGAAAAACACATGTCTTTAGTGTGTTACATTAGTTGTTCTGAATTTGAGTAACATTTTGATGGAGAGTTTAGGTCATTTTATTTTTGGCTTAAGGCATTCTAAGAAGTTTAAGAAAAAGCTGGAATATTACCAACTGCAATAAAGTATGATGGAGGTCAGGCTCAACTCTGCTTGCAGTTCTGTTTGATTTTTAAATATACTTGGAAGTTGTCTAGAGGATGAGACATTCATACTCTGGAATCTTGAACTGGTAAACACTGTATGTTTAAAAATAGACCCATAAATACTCTTCACTGTAGTTAACCTTCCTTGTGCTGGTTTCTGTTTCAAAGACTGTGCTTCCCTCCCTTTGAACCCCCAGGACCCCTACAAGTCTTTCGGTTTACCGTCTATTGGGAGACTGTCTCAGTACCAAGAGCCGACACATCTACCTGGTGTAAGTCATTAACTGTGATACCAACTGAGGGGCCTGGACCTTGATTTATGTCACACTTTTATGTTAGAGCATGTCAACACCAAAGGGTGTAAATTGAGGGACAAGGGAAATTCATGGGGAGTCAGGTTTTGTGTTAAATAAAAAATATTATTTGTACTCTATGGTATTCAGAAACATTAGAATCCACTCAATAGGGTAAGTTCAAACACATTTAATCATATAAGCAATAATTTATATTGTAAAAGGTTATAGTATCCTAAGAATGGGAAATGACATTTTTGTGTTTTCTTTAAAAAAACAAAACAAAACCCAAAACTTTAATCTAGCCCCCTGTTGTAGTCAGACATCAAGAAATTCTAGCACAAAAATCAGCTCATTAGCAGGACTTTATTAAGGAGAACAATGTATCTTGTTTTGAGCAGTATCATCAGCTCTAAGAAAAAGTGACCAGTGTTCATTTTATCCCATAGTCAGTCTATTCCTTGTCCTTTAAGCAATCTGGTTGCATAAAAAGAACAAGGGCTGTACCCTCTCTCTTAATCAAGGCACTAAGTGCATGTATAGATGATGCAATGTTAGCTAGCGGGTGACAAGGCTGCAGCATCTGTGAATATGATTGTTCAGTTTGATGGGTGGTAAGAAGACGGTGAAAGATTACAGGAAGACTTCTAAATTTGAAGATGTTATTGGATATATGATTTATTTCACTTTTAAACTGTTTTTGCCCATGTGCTTTCTAAAGGGATTTGACCCCTTCTAGGCCTAGAGACTCCATGCTGTGTTCAAAGCGTGGAGGCAGAAAAAAATTGTAAAGACTGAACAGGCATTATGTGATGCTAAATAGCACATGAGAGCAAGTGTCAGAGGGACATATCCAAACACTTTTTTAATCAAACAGAAAAAGTCTTAAATAAGAAGTGTAATGATTACTCTAGTTGTTAGAAGTTTCCACCATGTTGTAATAGCTCACAGAATGTCAAACATTTTGCCCTCTCAAGTTTTTGCAATTTGCAATTTTCAAACGTGAGACCTGTTGAAAGTAAAAGTGATAATGGACAAACTCTACCCCCTACAGTCTTTGTCCCACCAAATCTTTCTTCAATTAATGCTGCAGCAGGAGTTTTATGTAATAACATTTGCAGTTGTGATCCATCCATAGAAAGAAAAAACAATTAAAATGCCTTAAATGTTCTGCTTACTGCTGTTATTTGCCTGTGTGAATGTTGCATGTCAGCTAAATGGACCAAGGAATAGATGAAGAGACTGGGGGCAGGAGAGTGCGCACTAAGCTTTGTCTATCATTATTGCTGGGAGCAATCAAATTGATGTCAGCAGGACAGTAGATGCGTTGACAGCTGTAATTATGTATCTCCATGGTGATCACTTTTGGCCTGTCATGGAGGCCCACGAGTCCCCTCCCTTAGAAGCATTTAATCAGACTGGGCTGTCACTTGTCAGGTAGACACGGCGGGCTGGGAGTTGTGCTGAGGGGGAGGTGAGTTGAGAATGAAGGGTGGGACATGCCTGATAGTTTCCAGGGTCTGCTGTTTGGCTGACGAAAGCAATTTTAATTGTGCCGGAGGTATCTTGAGGACTGACTTGAGAACCTCGCAATTGGGGTGCATGGGTGTTTTTAGTGGGGTCTTCTTCCCCTTGCCTTACTAAAACTAGATATGTCAGTTTCACTTGGGAAGTCAAATTTTGGCTCTTAGGTTTTTTTTTGTCACAAGAAGGAGCAAATATTTCAGAGTTAACTTTTGGTTCACACCTTTCACATGCATCTTTAAGCCTGAAGCACACTGTTACAGCAGGGATGAGGCTTCTTTTCCATGTAGTCTTTGATTGTTCTGCTTAGAGATCCGTTTGACTTGACTGTTGAAGTGGCCAGTGAAAGTTTATGTAGGCTTTGTTTTCATGAACAGGCACCGAATCTGGTTTTTAATTGGTTGTTAGGAGTAAGATATATAGTTGACTATCATTTGGGAAAACCTATATAAGCAGTAAGTCAAAAGTGAGGGCTCTTTTTATCTTTGTGAAGTTTCTTTGGGAATGTCTACCTGCCTGCATGTGCTGATCATATATCATACATTTTTATTTGACCCTGTGGGTTGAAAGTGACAAATTACTGTAATTATTTTAGTAAAAATACAGACAGTTATACCTAGCAGCCACAGACAGGTCACTTAGCTTGTAGGGTGGCATTATTTAAGATGATGAAAACTGTGAGAATGTGGAATGGCTTTCACCTTAAGACCTTCATTTGGAATGTGGGATCCATGAGCCCAGATTGCTGCTTGTGCTGCAAACACAAGAGTTCCCGGGCATGTTCCAGCCTTCTCTTTAAAACCTTAAGAGAGGAGCAGTGTGATTTTTCACTCATCTTCTAATGCCATGTAATAAAGCCATCACCCACCCTCATGTGGATCTTCTGGACAAGAGGTTCTATGTCTGGTCCCTTGATAATGGCCTAAATTAAAATATTGAGGGCTTACCAGCCGCCACATTGACCTTTTCCTGCCTTGCCACAGACAGATGAACTGCTGTTTATTGGGAAACCTCCTTCTCAAGTTTGTCAGAGCTTCCTGTCTTCTCTCCCCACCCTTACAATGTTGAGTACTACAACCCTGCTGTTTTGGATGCTTCGATTAAATTCTTCCACCCTCAAGCCCTAGGATATGATGCCTCCCAGTCTTAAATATTTTGATTAGCTTCTAAATACTTCTGACCCAAAACTTTTGGTCACAATAAATCTAATAAATGCCCCGTGCTTGGCAGGTGCTCGTTCAAAGTTTTACATGACTAGCCTCTGCTGTGCTGCTGGTATCAAGCTGGGAGAGGAAAACAAGAATCAGCGATGCACTAACTAACTTGTTGGCTGGTTAGCAGCAACCGGGGGCTTCAAAAGGATATTTTGAACCTGTGCCGGTCCTGCCCAAGATGAAAAGCGCAGAATCCAAACTCTAATTGGAGCTTGCATCCTCACAGAGCAGAGCCTTGGGGAAAGCTGTGTAAACACGGAGGACTCAGGGGACCAAAAGCATCAGAAAATAGCATTTACAGTTGAGGGGATAAAGAGGAAAAGTACTGCAGACTTGAAACCCTGACTGTATGGGTCAGTGTTCTGTGAGGAAGAGGGATAGCCAGGGCCCCCTCAGTGCTCTCCGAGGGAGGGGGCTTTAGAGGGGCACCATCCCAACCCTCTGCAGTCAGTTGCAGATGTACCTTCAGGTGGGGACACATGAAGCTTCCCTCCCCCTTCCCCTTTTAGTGAAAGGACAAAAATCGTATGCCGTAGTGAATATTAATAGATCAAAGATCAACCCCTCATTATGTGTCTGGGTTATTTTCAGTTTTCCAGAGGCAGGGATGTTGAGATCGAAACTTTGTTATCTCCTTTCTCCATGTAAAAATAGCTTGTGGTCAAATAAAACAAATCTGCCCAATATGAAGTTACGTACTTTTTTCTTTTCTTTCTCAGGTCCGAGTTGACAGTGGCATCCAACCGGGAAGTGATATCAGCATCTATTATGACCCTATGATATCAAAAGTTAGTCCCATTTCTTTGTTTTCTTTGAAACAGGACACATATTTAATTAAGGAATCAGAAGTGAAGCCTTTTCCTTAACACTGTACTGTAATTAAACCAGCCAGAAAACAGTATGTGAAAGTGAAAATAGTTTTCTCGTGGTTTTGTGGGGCTCCCTCAGCTGCAGTCAAGTCACAGTCACCAGGAGGGCTGCTCTGCACATGCGCAGCGGCCATCATCCCCCAGCACTGCTCCTGTGCACATGCGCAGCTCCCATCATCTACCAGCCCCTACATATATAGCTCCCATCTTAACCAATGGGAGCCCAACCTACTGCAATGAAAGGAATTAGGCTGGTTTTTTGTCTTTCCAAAAGAGGGTGGTGTAAGTGGCGGGTTCTGTGGAGTGAATTTGACTTTTGTTGTTTACGCTATAGCTGGAACCCATGTGCTCATGTGCTGTGTAGGTTCTTCAGGGTCTCCCCGCCCCCAATCTTTCTTCTGCCCTTTTTGTTTTCAGAAAATGCCTGTTTTGTTTTCAAGTATTTCTTTACTATGACAATGATATGTAAGGGAAACATCTGAGATGGGGTTGGTTCTCATTTGTTTATTTAAATAAATCTTAATTGACATATTTTATGTTGAAAAACTGGACCACTGTGAAAACTGAAAAGGCACATTGGTGAATGCGTTAGGCAGTATTAAGCCTTTACCAGGCCTCGTCACGCAGTGTGTGCTGGCTCTACGGACCATTTTGTTTGTTTACTTGTAGCTAATCACATACGGGTCTGATAGAGAGGAAGCGTTGAAGAGGATGGAAGCGGCGCTGGATAATTACGTGATCCGAGGTAAAATACACACATTTGCTGTTCTGCTACTGTGTGTGGTGCCTGGTTAAGAGACACAGAGTGAAGGGTTTGTCATTAGGGAATTCCAGAAACAACTGGTTACTGTGCTTAGATGGAAATGAGAAAAATGTGAATGGGCCAAACATGGACACCAGACACAGGTGTTTGACCTCTCTGTTTGACCCAAGTTATTTAATTGAACATAGGACATAGCTTTTCCTCTAAATGCCTCATGGTATCTTGTAGTTGTATATTGTACATCATATGAGAGACGGTGAAGAACCATTGTCCCACCTAGTTAGATATTGAGCTTAGTGTCGCCGTCTGTGAGTTTTTGGGTTGGCAAGTACAGACTTGTGTAGATGGATACACGACCTTACATTTGGTTACTTTGGGGTCTGGGAAAATAGCTCTAGGCTTCTGCTTGGAGAAGACATAGGTGATTTGCTTGAAACTGTAGTTTTTCTCCCTTGGGTCTCTGCCCTTGGTTCTTACACCAGCCTTCTGAATGCAGTCTGCCCGAATCAGAAGCTACTCTTGCTCTCCAGTCTGTAAAGTGGTCATTCTTACCCACTTTGAGGGGAAAATTATATGCTAAATGTAAGTTCCAGCTTCTTGTTGGTAATGAAAAGAGCTTTGTTATCACATTCAAGTGTATGTTATGAATTTGAATGGCCAGTGAGGATCTGAGAGTGTCCTCTAGGCAAGTCTGGGTGCTACATCGTTGTAGCCTCTGCTCTCCCAGCGGACCCGAGTTTGGTTTCAGCACGCACATCAGGAGGCTCACAACCACCCATAACTCTAGCTAGCTCCAGGGAATCTGATGTCCTCTTCTGCCCTCTGTGGGTACACACATTTATGTGTACATACTGATATCTGAGATGGAGTGGGTATGGAAGAAATGAGTGGGGGATGGGAGACAAGTAGATGGGGAAAAAGGTAGAGACTCTGGGACTATGATTGACTGTTTTTGAGACTGAACTAATCAGTGCTTTGTAAGTAAGAGTCAAAAGGGAATACTAACATCTAATGGCATATTTCAGATGAGCCATATAACCCTGCAGTAGGGTAGGGGTTGGGAAGAACTAACTCAAATAACTTAATTGTGTATTAACTGTACATATCCCTAGGCTAAAGAGAAAATATGTCTAAATAAATATTAAACCCTAATTAGTTCGTATATTTTTCATAGTTGATGGGTTAGCAGGTCTGAAACCAATTTATGTACATTCTGGAATTGAGGAAATAAATATATGTGTTGAGGATAATAAGAACCAAGTTTCCCCTTGTCAGAAAGGCAGTAACAGATGTGGGAATGAATGCCTGGGGGTGGAATGAACCCTGTGTGTGGTATGAAGTAGGGTCTGAAGGTATCCGTGAGAACTCGTGGGCTTTAATATAAACCGATGGCTACGTAAGGGCGTGTGCATGCATATGCGTGTATACTTTCATGTTTACACACCTATGTATATTCTCTAAAGGTTCTGGATTTTGTTTGACACAGTTGACACCTTGGGGACAGCAACTGTCATAGGATGACAGTCCCATGTAGAGTGTGCTTGTCGATGTGCTTGACTTCTGTCCGCCCAGTCTGCTAAATGTGCTCAGGCTTGGCTTCACGAGAAGCATACAATGAGCCTGGGCCACCCATGTAAGAGGGGAAAGCTCTTATCTGGGCCCCGCTTACTTGGCGGACTGAGGCAGGAGGATCGGTGTGTGACAGTCCCAGGCCAGTTTTGGCTACAGTGTGACACCCTGTATAATAAACTCTAAAACAGACAAAGGATAACCTCAGAAGCAGATCTGTTAGGAAGACACAGGAACTGCTTGAAGCGGGCCTCCCCGGTCAAACTCGGAGTCTGCCACACAGGAAGTCTACCAGCAGCAGCTTACAGCCTGTGTAGTTGAAGTGAGCGTCCCGGGCTGGAAATACCTGGATGGATAAATGAAGGAGATGGTATGGCTCCTCCATAATTTTAAACCAATACATGTAGCAAAAGCACTACATTGAGAATATAAAATAAGAAAATCAGTAGATGCTGAAATTGATGGGAAAATGGAGGAACAGTTTATTTTATTTTATTTTTTTATAGTTTCTGGACGTCCCTCCATAATATACTTAGTAAGCACCTAGGAAACCGCTTCCTACTAGCAGCCTTACCAAGCAGCCAGGGCTCACCCAGGTCCTGCTCCTCTTGTAGCAGTCATTTGTGACATACATGCACACACACACACACACACACACACACACACACGCACACTCACACACGTGTAAATGGTAGCCTGAATATAATCACGAGGAAACACCAGACATACCAACCTGAAAGACAATCAACAAAATAAACGACTTCTGATGTTCAAAGGTGTCAAGGTCAGTAAACACAAAGAGGAGGCAGCAGCTTATCTAGATCAAAGAAAACCAGAGGCACAGACTGCTGGGTGCAGGGGGGTTCGCACTAGATCCTGCCCGAACCAGGAAAAAGGGCTTCCCTTTGTAGTAAAAGCCACAGATGGGACAACCAGGGAAATCTGAGTAAAGTCTGTAGATTCGATGGACACCCAGCTTGCAGAAGAGACCTCTCTTCTTCTTAGGAAACGCACATGGCGATATTTAGAGGTTGTCAAGGGTTTACGTTAGAAAATAGTATGTGGTCTGTGGCTTACACATACAGACAGCGCAGAGATGTGCCAAGCTGCCCCCCAGACTCAGAGCCTGAGTCAAGGCTGAACAATAATTTTCTGTACTAGTTTTGCCAACTTTTGAAGATTCTGAAATTATTAAAGAGTAAGTCGGGGTTTTTGCTTCATTTTAAATAGAAAGCTCCCTCCCTACTCCCCACTGTTATCTTTGATGGTTGCTTATTTACATGGTGAATTCTAAAGGATGGACATGTTTTAAAACTTTTGTAAAGGACAGGAATGGAAGAAGAATTTATTGTTAAGTAACTGCTTCATTGATCAAATGTAGATTCCCCCACACAAAATCACTTGTGAGCTTTTGTGAAAGTAGAGAAATTTTAGAGCACAGTACACCTATATTAAACTTAATTTCCATGTCCCCAGGAAAGAAGCAGTGGCCTCGGCCTCTGTTTGATCCTGGTGGAGTGCACAGCAAGTGTCTGGCCTGCTGTTTTGGAACCAGCGGGCAGTCAGAAGGATGCTCGAGGGGCCTCCCTCTGTGGCCTGGTCATGATTTCCCATGCAGATGGGATCTGCTGAACTCTGGCACAGGTCAGCCCAATTCCCAATCTGAAACTCTCAGTCATAATTTTTATGATTATGTGATTAATAATGTGAGTGAGGCTGTAAACTAACTCTCAAAGGATACCCTACTGTCCGCCGACTGTTTATACAGGGACTTACTCGGACGGCACTGTCTTCCTGGGATGTGGAAATAAAGCAAACTAAACGCACAGTGGTACCTCTCATGTGGGTCTTTTCTTCCGTCTGGTGTTCTAAGCATTTTGTGCATGGAACAGTTTCCCGATGATTCCTGTCTTAGCCTTAGAATCAGTTCCTGTGCAGGAGATCTTGGAGCAGCTAGTTGTGTTCTTAGCCATACATGGGAAAGAAACTGTCACTTTACTGTTAGCCATACATGGGAAAGAAAGTGTCAGTCACTTTACTGTGTACCCTAGAGAGGCACAATGGCTGGTGATTTGCTTTCACACAGTCGTGTGTGGCATGCTACTCAGAGAACGTCAAGTTTCAGTCTTATTCTTGATGCATTGCTTAGTGAAATCTAAGTCTTATTCATGTCGTACTTACTATATAAGTAGAAAGATTTTAAAAAATTCTTCAAAGGAATAGAACCAGCCTAGATGCCTATCAATAGGTGAATATGTATGGAAAGTGTGGTATATAGACACAATAGAATTTTACTCCGCTGTAAAGAAAAATGAAATTATGGAAATTTCAGGAAAATGGATGGGGTGGGAAAGGATTATATTAAGCAAGATGACTCAGAAAAACACCAACTCTATTTTCTCATTCATAGGAGCACAACCACCCTAGTTTATAGTGTGTGTGTGTGTGTGTGTGTGTGTTTGTAAACAGATGTAAATGTGGGTGAAGCCAGAAAGGAGACCAAGAAAGTGTAAAAAGAAGTTCTGCGGGTTGGGGGGGAGGGGAGGAAATGAAGGGCATATGCGACAGGAAAGCCAAAAGGAGCCTGAGGACGGATGGGAAGGTGATGAAAGGAGAACCAACTGTACACTGTGCTGAAAGAGAAAGAGTTGCAACAAAAGAAAAGTAGACGCCCGTTTGTGTGCTTTGTTCTGTTGTTTAATGTCCTAGGTGTAAAGTAATATTTGTTCACAATCCTCTTCTAAAGCCAATATCCCCCTTTCTGCTGTGAATATGGAATGAAACGCTAATGCGTCACTCACCTTGTTACTTACATTCATTTCAATATTTTCGATATCAGTATTGGAAAGTAACTTTTTCTTGTCCCAGTTATAAACTGCATCTTCAAGGCCATGTTATACTTACTGAAGGCAGATTGTACTGTTTGGGTTTTGGCAGTATGGAGGGCTGGGAAACCTGTACCAGGACTAGGCTATAAAGGGAAACTCAGTATAGTTAACCGTGAAATGTTACTTACATAGGAAAATACTCATTTTATTTTATTAACTGTAACAATAATTGTTGGAGTTAGACGGCCTTACTGACTTACGTACAATTTCAGCAGCAGTTTGGGGAGGGTGTCTTATGAACGGACAGACTGGGTTGTTAATTTTCATGTAAGAACAATCACTCTTCTTTCCTTGAGTTAAATCACTGTGGCCCCTCAGTCTTCTGAGTTTGGTCCCTCCCACGGGGTGTTACTCCTTGCACACTTTGGGTACCGTGGTACCTGCGGCAGTGCTGGGGGCTTGATTTCATCCTGCCCGTGTCTGCTGCTTCTCCTGCTGTTTAGCTTCCTTCCCGTTGATGGCCATGGCCAGGTCTTGAGACTCTCTAACCTTCGGATGTTGTAGGATGGAATGGGATCACAGGCGTCTGTCTGCCTTGCTCGAAGCGAAGCAAGCCTTTTCCCTTCATGCCCTCCATGTCAGCCCAGGCATCTCCCGTAGAACCAGAGACTCAGATGGGCTTGACTCACACCCTCCCCATGACAGCAGCCTAGCTACTCAGTATGTGGGTAAATCCCTTACTTCCTCTCAAGTCCCACTCCTTTTCTCCATGGACACCGTCAGCCCTTGTTGCTGTGGGACACAGCCTGGGCGGTTTCCATTGCGCAGTGGTGATGTGTTTCTCACTTTCACTCCCATCCCTGGCAGTCTTCCTCAGGATGCAGAAACCTGCTTGCCTTCACCCTGCTTCTCACCGCCATTCTCACCGTCCCTGAGGGGGCAATGACTTTCCTCTGTGGCCTGGTGGACTTAGAGCTGCGTCGGGCTGTGTGTCTCCTCCTCTTAGTGCCCTCCTTGCAGTCTCCACACAATTGCCCACTGGCAACCATTTGCTTTGTGCCACAGTGAAAATTCTTGGATTTTTAAAAAAATTATTTATTTATTTTATGTGTATGAGTATTATGTATGCATGCATGCATGTATGTATGATTGTATGTGTACCATGTACATGTCTTATGCCCGTGGAGTTAAAAGAGAGCATCAGATCCTCTGGAACTGGAGTTTTGGGTGGTTGTGAGCCACCACATGTGTGCTGGGAACTGAACCTGGGTCCTCTGCAATAGCAACAAGTGTTCTTAATTACTAAGCCGTCTCTCCAGCCATGTGAAAATTCTCAAAACAGGTAAAATTCCTTCTACTCTCCATGTGATTTATTTTGTAATACTCTAAATAGGTTAACTCCATCTATGGAATTTTTGTATAAAGGAACAATATTCCTACTAGAAGTCTGGAACTTGATGTAAGTGTTTGAGGTAGGTGGGATGATTTAAGGATTGGATTTTATACAGTTTAGACATACAGTATTTTGTGAATTTAGAACAGAGATGGTGACATGCTTTCATAGGTTGGTATTGTGGTCTAGAATAAAGAGATGCATAGAAAAAAAATGCCTGGGGGAATATGGTAAGTTGTTAATATTGATTAGCCTAGAAATGGATAGTCATTTCTGAAAGATGAACCCCTGTCCCCCTAGGTGAACCTCATGCTCATGGTAATCTGCTGTAACCAAGGTATCTAGATACAGTGGTATGGATACTATGGAATTATGCTTGGCTTTTATATAATTAGTTTTATATAATTAGTTATATATATATTAGTTGGTCCTTCCAGATAGTGAGGTCATTTAAGGGGATATGCTTGTGCACACAGATAGACAGAGAAAGACTAGGGGTTGATCTGCTTCATTTATATTGCCAAAGTGAAATTCCTGCCACATCAGGAAGCCCCTAAGAGGAAGGAATGAAAGAAAGGTGTTGAACCCATCACTTCAACTTGCATTCCTGTGTTTAGGAATTAGTTGTCATGTTGAACTGCAAGTAGGATAGAAAATGGGGTCTGAATGGGTAGGTTTTATTTTTTTTTTGTTTTAATGCTTTTATTAGCTAAGGAGACAAGTAATTGAGTTATTCTTAGATAAAGGAGAGGGGGGGAGGGCGGGGGGGGGAGACTTTGTGTGTACTGCACAGGTCTTTCTTAGTAACTCTCCAGAATCTCTCACTAACCTAGAGCTCATTGATTTGACCAGACTGCCTGACTAGAGAGCTCCGGGCATCCTCCTGTCTCTGCCTGCCCAACACTGGCATACAGGTGTACACAGACAGCTGTGTCCTCAGCGTTTTTTCACATGGGAGTGAAACCGAGTTCCTTCTGCTTACATGACAAGCGTTTTATCAATTACCTCAGCCCTCTGAAAGTCCAGTTGTTACCTAACTTATTGTTCTTCAATTCAGTCTGAAATTTTGTTTTTAGGTGTTACACACAACATCCCGTTGCTACGTGAGGTGATAATCAATACACGCTTTGTGAAAGGGGACATCAACACCAAATTTCTCTCTGATGTGTATCCTGATGGCTTCAAAGGTATGTGTGTGTGTGTGTGTGTGTGTATGAGTGTATGTGTGTGTGTGAGTGTGTGTGTGCATGCTGAACTATTTAGTTCTCAGAAGTTCCTTCAGCTATGTCAGGTTATTTATATTCTTAGTTGTAACACATAGTTTTTCTATTATGAATGAAGGTCCTTTGGCTTCTGTTCCACTCATTGTATTAGCTTTTTTGAGTATTCTTGACCATTAACATTTATGATTTTGATTCATGAATGTAACTATGTTCACCTTTTCTCTTAAAAAACAAAGAAAATACCATGTGTGCAGTTTGTGCTCATGTGTGAGAGTCTAGGTGCATTCCAACCCCAGCTACAGTACATATGGAGGTCTGAAGCCAGTCTCTCAGGTAACAATTTTAAGTGTAAAAAATTTAAACCTTTTGTTTCCATGTCACACAAGACTGTTTCATCAAGGTGGAGATGGAGAGAACATGGAAGACCTACTTAACATTGGTGGAAACCAATGGGTTCACCTGAGACTTTGTAGAAACACCTAGACACAATTCTCTAGTGAACTGGGGTTTGAAGGCTTATTCTTGAATTTCAAGTGTTTTAAGGGCTTGGGGTATATAGATTGGCAACCCTTGCTGAGCATGTGTGAAGCCATGGATTTTGATCCCTGGTGTCATTAAATATCAAACAAAGCAAAACACATGTTTTAGTACAAGAAGTGACCTGCATAGTCATATAGCAGACCACACATAGATTTAGCTCAGCTTTGTGTAGTTGACTGTTAAGTGCATTTGCAGAATGATTTTTAGTTCAGACTATACAATAAAGGTTTTGTAAATTAAAATGAAAATAGCCAATTTGAATGTTCTCTGAATTTTATCATTAGAGTTTTATCATTAAAAGAAATTAAGAATTTCTTTTATTTGTACAAAAAGTAATAATAATTCCTCAGATTACTTTTCCTCAATTTTTGAAATTTCAAAATTCAGGATAAACTACATCTTGGCTATGATTAGTGCATTATAACTGGGTATTATCTCATTAACAACTGCTATCCTGAGGTCAGAACCACTTAGGCCATTGCTTCTTACTGTCTCCCTAGTAACAACCCACAGGAGACACTATATAAACACTTGTTTAATCAATGAAAAGAATCTTATCCATGGTGTTGATGAAAGGGATGCTTTGGATATTTTAAGTCATCTGTACACATATCTATATAAACAACTCATCCTGTTTGATACTGATATTTTATTCTCATTACTAAAGTTTAGAAGATGTGGTAAGTTGGTAAGCAAATTCACAACTTACATATGGTTCCATGTCTACACAGATAATTCATTTGATAGGAAATAGTGGGCAGAAGAAAACCATAGTTGGAAGAAATTCAAGTCAACTCTCAGAACCAGTTTTAGGTATGCATGTAAGCATTTGTTTGTAGTCATGTGTAGCTATATATGAGCATAAATGTATACATGAGCAAGCAATCTTAATGATGATACTAAGTATACTTTTAAAATTATAAGCCCCAAATCCCCATCAACTGAGAAATTGACCTTAGAACTGAGTGTGCTTTTCCATGGGGCACTTGAGGATATTTCCTCTGTCTTAAGGAATTTCCAACGTGACTCTTCTAGTTGTTGACTGTTCTAATTTGCCAGGAGAACCCTTTACAACGACTTACTCTCAACTTTCATTACTCACGAAGCTCAAAGAAGCCATGTGATCACTAAAAGAGGAATTGGCTCCAGAGTTTCCCTTTTTATTAAAAAGTCTTACCATGTAACCCAGGCTGGCTTTGAATGCGAGGCAGTCTTCCCGCCTTAGCCTGTGCCCGGCTGCTTCTTTTTCTTAAAATTACTTTTTATTATTATTCAAAATTTTTTTCTGATACAACATATTTGGATCATATTCTTTCTCCTCCCAGAAGCCTACCTCCTTACCCACTCAGCTTCATGTGCAGAGAGACATAACCCAAAGCCAAATGAAAGTGAAAAAGTAAAAAAGCACCAAGTCATAAACAACAACAGAAAAAAGCACACCAAAAACATGGGCAGGCCTAAAGCTCAGGAGTGGTTGACTAACTACTTACCCCCCTCACCCCCCAGAACCTATCAATTGCATGTAGCATCTTGGTTAGAGCTAGGACTCTGCTCCTACTTCCCCATGCTCAGATTTTGTCTGGCTTGAATTTTCTGTGCATGGTATCAACACACTTGTGACTTTATCTGAGCATTAGTTACTTTTTCTTTTTATGTTTGGGATGGAGTGCAGGGTCTTGCACATGATAGGCCAGAACAGTGAGACTGAATCTCAAGCCCTGATGGTAGGCTTTTCTTTTTTTGTTTTTCAAGACAGGGCTTTCAATTACAGCTTGAGTATCCCTTGAGTTGGGCTGGGATTCCAGCTCATATGCCACAGACTTTTCAATGATGTATCATCAGAACGTTCATCGAATACCCCTCATTGGACATTCCCAACATCTCCCTTGTATCAGGTTGTTTTGGATTGACAGGCCCCAAACCATGACATCGACACATTATTAGTTATGAATGCTCAGCCTTATCTTGTCCTACTTGCTCTTATATCCTAAATTAACCTGTTTCTCTTTATTTACATTTTGCCTTGGGGCTTTTTATGTCTCCTTCATTCTTTATGTTATACTCAGTGTCTGACTGGCTGGTATCTGCCGGACTGGCTGGTTCCCTGGGTGTCTCCCTCTCTTTCTCCTGCCTTCTTGTCTCTCCTCCCCTACCTTCCCTTCCCTCCCCTTATTCTCTCTGCCCACCAGCCCTGCCCATTCTTCTACTGCCAAGCTATTGGCCATTGAGCTTTATACTAGACCAATCAGGGGCCTTAGGCAGGAAAAGCAACACATCTTTGCATCATTAACCAAATGCAGCATAAACAAATGAAGCATACCTTTACATAGAAAGTAGTATTCCACAACACTCGCCCCATTTTATTCCCTAAGGTTATTTCCATGCCAGGCTTTCCTCCCCTGAGTGACCTCCATCTCCTGTCCTTTAGATAACGGTTTTGTCTCCCTAGCCATCCGTGCATCCTCCCCTCCCCCGTGCAGATCGTAGCTATGTTAAGCCATCATCTTTGACTGTTTGATGTATGTGCCCAAGAGACAGCAGGAAGTGGCAGGTGAAGCAAGTCCAGGACCTTCTCACTGTGTCTGGGGCCAGGTCACCCTGCCCCGTTGGGGTTACCCATCTGTTTCCCATCTGGCCCGATCTTCTCGGCACTGCTCATAAGCAAGCGCCTGTCTCCATGACTGCATTCAAAATTTCTATTATGTGTGTTTATTTCCCCAAATCTATTTGCAACTGAGGGTACTTTTTTTTAACAAAAGGTCCTTAGATTTGAACTTAGATTGAATCTAAAATTTAAAACTAGGAGATGCAATAATTGTTGACCTTTTTAAATTTGAATACTGAAAAGCAAATTTTCTTTGATTCGAACGAAGCTGAAGGGAAAAAATGAAGAAGCTATTTAAAGAATCATAATTTCAGTTGACCTCATATGAGCATTTTGTATCAATTTCTCTGGTAACTTTTTACACTTTAACTTCAAGCTCCTTTAAAAACAGTATCAGAATTATCTATTTTCCTTTGGGAAGTTATTGATTTTTTTTGTAAGGATTTGATTGAACATATGAAGTATGTTCTCTCTTCTGTGCGGAGCTGAGGATGGACTGCAAAGCCTGCTACTGGGGTTCCCCATGAAGTCTGAGGACCATTAGTCCTCTTGCACTCTCAAGAGCTCAATGTATCTACTGATCTTTGTATGTTACCTAGGAACTAGAACATCGGTCCATTTGAAAATAAATGTAGTAAATCCATTAGGTGTTGACCTGAGAGCAACGATATCATCATGCTTTCTGTGTCCAGGAACCTGGAACCATTAGTAGCCTCCAGGAAGAAATGCAGAAATACTTCATCTTTAAAAATGAGGGTCATTTAAAAAGCAAATAGGAAAATTGTTCTAGTCTTGCTGGCCTGTGCAGGGCTCTGAGGACCCCAAGTCATCTCCTAGTCACACTTGGAGTATTCTTCTTCTAGGTATTCGTTTTGGAAAGTCTTGGTTTCTTCTTTTGTTATCTACCTGATACAGAATGTTTAGCTGTGGGTTATGAGGGCTTTTCTTCCCTGCTCCAGTGTCAGGAGAAGACCTAGGACATGCCATGGCCCACAAGGTTGTGGTTTATGAAGTCAATGAGGGATGTCCCTGGAATCCTAGAATAAGGTGTGAGTGCCCATGTTGTGTTACAATTCATTCAGTGTCTGGGATTTGACCCAAAGAGGGATGGATTGCTTGAGGTTTTCATGCCTTTCTATTTTGTGAATTACCTTCCTGTAGAAGAATTTGTTACAGATCTTGAAAAATATTTATATTTAAATTCTTAGTATTTTATTTTGAGCGAGTTTTAGAAATAACATTCGTATCACTTTCTTTCTCTCAAATAAATTGTGTGCCTACTGGATTCTCTTTGCTCAGTACACCGGTTGTACCTACTGTGCCATGTGACCGTCTGCTGTCACATGACAAACAACAGACAGTTTGGTTCCTTCGGCTCTCAAGTGGTGTGGGAACTCTAGACCCCACAGCATCTGACTCCTGCTTTGACACCCATCGACTCATGCACAACTCTGCCCATAGAACCAGTTACCTGCTGTAAGTCAGTCAGGCATGTGAGGCTGCCGGGGGCTAGGCTACTCTACCTGGGGCCAGCTGAATTTTGGTGCGGAGAGAAATTTGTTGATTTGTTGATCAGTCGGTTGATCTGCCTTCAGGTTGTGACTACATACACAGAGGCAGGAGAAGTGTGCCTTCGTTTTCTTTGAGTCGTTCACGCTAGAAAAACATGGCCTTGTCCATGTCCCTTACCAGCACCAATCTGCTTCTGCAGAGGAGGGAACTTTGGCCTTTTATCCTCATTCCCTTAGAAGTAAACTTACGGATGATGAGTGATGACAAGAAGCAGGTATGAGGAGCTGTGTAGTCCCCAGAGGCCTCCTTGAGTCTGGCTTCTTACTTACTGTTTTGTTCTGTGCACCTATGAAACTCCATTCCCTGGGGCTGGGGAGATGTTCAGCAGTTAGAGTCATTCTTCCAGAGGACTCAAGTCCATTTCTTCCCACCCATGTCAGTGGCTTATGACTGTCTGTACCTCCACCTTCAGGGGACCCAATGCCTCTGGCCTCCATGGGCACCTACACATGGGCACCTGCATTCACATCACATATGCACATGCAGACATATTTAAAAATAATACAAATAAGAGTTTGAGCTGTTGGATTTGGGTGCTGGGAATCAAACTCTTAAGAGCCGTGTGTGTTCTTAGCCGCTGAGCCAGCTTGAATGCCTTGGTTTTATTATCTTAATGGTACATATACCTAAACAGTTAAGTATATTTCTCTAAAAGATTCAATGAGCATTAACACTTACTTCAGTGTTCAGATGCACAGGGCTGGCGGCAGAGGTGCAGGGAGGGATCAACTGTACATCAACCGACCTTTCTGCTCGCTGCTACAGAGGGACCTTCAATACCTCTGCCCTTAACCCCTCACTGTTCACATTGCAGATCTGCCAGACTATGCACTTTGGAATTGTCTGCTCATAACTTTTAGAATAAGAGGCATTCTTGTTCTTCCTTATATATGAATAAGTTTGTAACATAGTTGCTTAGACCAGAAGCTTCCACTGAAATGGTTTTTGTGTAAAAGTAAGTGTTACATGCTGATGGGAAGTTTGCTTTCAAGAATGTCAATATTCTGGTATTTGTAAATCTGTGAACAGAGAATTCTGGCTTGGAAGATGAATAGACATTGGAAAACGAAACAAAATCTCTTTCCCTGTGTTAGTCCGTGAGCTTCGAGGGTTTGGGTTTTGCTTGTTTGTTTTCTTATGGAGCTTTCTGCACCCTTTCATCTGCTTCTTGTACAATACTGAGTCCACCATCGATGCCTGGCAAAGTCCTTGTCCTGTTGACTAATGACTGTAAGAGGGAAGTGCAGATGTTGACATGACAGATATGGCTTTATTTCTTACAGGACACATGTTAACACAGAGTGAGAGAAACCAGTTGTTGGCCATAGCATCATCGCTGTTTGTGGCGTCCCAGTTACGAGCACAGCACTTTCAAGAGCATGCAAGGTACGGAGTGAAGGGGCAGGAAATACTATGACTGTCTTGTCTGCACAGAATGTGCCAGTGAAAGCACTGGCTGGTCTTGGGTCTTGATCTTCTCAGGGCCTTTGGGGAAAGCACAGTAGACTCACTGTTGAATGTGGTCCTGTGAGTGCATTAGTCTTTCCCTTTTTTTTAACTTGGAAAAGAGTGTCTTAGCTGTCTAATTTAGATGTCGGTAGAGGTAAGAACCCACTCTGATTTTGCTGGAAACTTAGTTCAGCTTAATTTGCTAGTCTAGAAAGATGTTCACTGTACAACACTAGGAACCTATCTCAGTGGTTAAAACACACATCAGAAACTGGAAGCTGCAAGAGGTGTTTAACACCACGAAATGGTTATCTGTAATCCAAGGATAACTTTTAACTTTCTGGTGACCCAGGTGAAAGGGGACACACCTTCTACCAGCATAAGAACAAAAATCTCACGGGCAATGCTGTTTCTCAGCAAAGGGGTCATTGATCATAAAGCCGTGCTTGCTAGAGTGACCCTTATAAGGAAATCCGTGGCGTTGCTAAAACTGCATTATTTTACTTTCTTTTTGCTTCTCCACAAGAACAACAATGAGAGAGTGGGGTTGGTGGTGGAAGGCGACCAAATAGCTCTTCTCAGCACCGGTCAGGGTCACACTGCCTCTGAGGAAACACACAAGCATCAAAGTTGTGTGTTGTTGCATCTTAGTTCTTAATGTGGTTTCATTTATGCTGCTTCTTCAGAGAAAGAGCTAGATGCTCAGTGTACAATCTCTAAGGAGTAATGCTTCAGTAGCTATCTGGTGGGGTAGGGGTGAGGGTGGGGGGCAGTTGGCCATGGTTCCATAAACTACGGATGATTGGCAGGAGAGGGACAGTGGTCAGGCGAGCCATGAGTCTGATGACTACTCCCCTTGATTGCCCTTCAGTCCGGTATAGAAGCTAGGAGCCACATGTGCTCCTAAGGTTGAACTGAAAACCCAGTTTCTCCATCACACGGGCCATATTTCAAGTGCTCAGTGGACACATGTGGTGCGAGGCTATGTGCTTTGCACACAATGACCCTTTTCATCTGGGCAGCCCTGCTCCACTGGGTTCTGTGGGCCTGTGCTGCTCTAGCAGGGGGTGTGCGCTGGAGAGTCTTAACCTCACGTTGTTTGTGGTTACCTTTGGATGACTGTGATATTTCTGCCCTCTTGTTATTTGGATTGCTATTACCCCAGAAGTCCTAAGTAGTTAAAGGTGAAACGATGTGGCTTTTATTTAAAGGAAATGAATACGCTCATTTACTCTGGGTCAGACTCTGCAGAGGACTTAAAGTATGAAAAGTGAAAATTGGGTTAACCCCACACTCTGCTAACAGTGGCTTTAAACATTGCAATGCTTTACCTGGGGTGGGGGGTGATGACGACGTTTGCATATTAATTAGGATCACCCTAGTAACACAGTTGACTGGCAGCTCCTCGTGCTTTGTTTTCTTGCCATGTGAGCTTTAAACACAGAGCCAGAGCTACCTTTCTAGCTCTTAATCATTTTTGATAAAAAGAATCCACAATACTATGCTATGATTATTTTCTAGTTGTTCTTTGGGGAAAAAAAGTTGTTACGTTTCAGACGCAACTTATGATAGTACAAAGAGCCCCGTCCAATCCTCTCTCAGCTTCTCTGTCCATGTCCCACCCTCCCCAGCTGTTAACGTTTCAAGGGAAATTTCCACTCACAAATAGACAAGTTTTCCTTGCGCACTGTACTGAAATACTGCTGCTGCTGTGTGCTGACTTAGACACCCTTGGGGACAGATGTGCCAAGTGTCTCTGTGAGAAAGCTCCTGTGGCCTGGCCTCACTCGGGTGCTGCCTTCAGTGACTGTCTTCTACCTCTATAACTTCCATGTCATATGGTTGAACTCGTTGTCCTTTTATAAGTGGGAAGAATTACATCAGTGAAACAAATCCAAGTTGAGACATGCAGATAACTGCGCGTATGTACTTTCCCCACGTGACAAGCAATGGTTCCTTCTCAGCGAAACTTGCCACTTACTTAGGCCAAAATGCTCTAAAACCAGTGCCAACAGCAGAGGCTCTACGGTCACGTTTGTCTGTTTGCTGTGGAGGGACCTGATGCCTCCTCCAGGCTGAGGTCTGCTGTTTGAACCTTTGCAGCCCGGCTTCCCAGGCTGCTTTTAACGACTGGCTTGGGAATGGAGTGGCCTGTCACCTTCCAGGTATGGCTCCAGTGCGCTGTGTTTTTGCTTCCAAACCGGTAGCTCACAGCCCTTCCTCTGGCTTGCTTGTTTTGGCTGCTGATCTTATTTTCCCAATTTCTCTGTGGTTTTTACTCTTTCATCATTTATGACCTGGAAAAAGATATTACTGTGTACCATGGTATTTAGATAGTAAAGTGATAGGGGCATTTCTGGGGGAAAAAAAAGTTAATGTCAGAAACAATAGTATGCTTCTTGGGACGCCTGTAAGTGTGCAGAACATAACTTCTTACGTGCTTGCATATTGATTTACTGTGTAGTCAGGCTCCTTCAGAATTCTTAACACTCTGGGGCTTTGCGGTTTCAGTCACTCAGGGCCGAGGCCTGGAGCACGGTCCCAAATACTTTAATTAGCAGAGGTGACTATTAAAACTGTTAAAGGAAGGCTTCCTCTTATGTGGATCTGAAAAGATTTTACTGGTTTTGTAGTTTGGTATAGTAACTTGTACTAACTGATAATTGTTAGAAGGAAAAATAACAATGGTAGTTCTCTAGTCCCTTTTGCTTAAAACACCCGCTCCCCTCAGCCTGAAATACAGCTTGTGGAGCAGTCAAGGGAACTTGCCTCACCCTGGGCAGGTCCCGGCTCTGCTCCTCAGGCTTCTCAGATACGGGTGAGCAGGCCCACCTGCCTTCCCAGTCGCAGTCCCTCTCCCCTGTCTCAGCATTCCTCTGTAATTCATCTCTCATAAGGTTCTGTAACTCGGAAGCTGCCGCCTGTGTTTCTGCTAGGCCGGGTGACTTACATAGGGATAGTGGCTCGGTGTCCCACTCCCCCTTTGCTGAGCAGAAGGCATGCTTGGTGTTCTTAAGAGTGAAGAAGAGGTGCAGAACCCTGCTGCCCTTTAGAGGTTGGTCCTCAGGCAAGGGGAAAGGGCAGGGTTATCTGTTTTCACACATTGCATTTATCTCAGGGTCTTTGAGAGAAAATCCTGACTCCAGGCTTATGAAAGTGTTTTTAATCACAGATACATAAAAAATTATTAAATTTCATTGTCCTTATTTTGTTCACTTGCTTTTTCTCCTTTGCCCTTGTGCTGGCTAGTATTTCATCAACTTCACATAGGCTAGAATCTTGGAACATTTGCTTTATGAATGATCGGTGTGGGTCCTCCCAGTCCACTGGGCCTGTGATGTTAGGTGGTGTAAGAAAACAGGCTCAGCAAGCCATGGGGAGCCAGTCTGTAAGCAGCACTCTTCCATGGCCTCTGCTTCCATTCCTGCCTCCTGGAATGGAATTTGATGATTTTTTAGCTAATTTTTTTTGGGAGTATGTGGAACATGTACTGAATAATCAAATAAAGTATCCCTCCCTCCCTCGCTCCCTCCCTCCCTCCCTCCCTCTCTCTCTCTCTCTCCTTCCCTCCCTCCCATATCATGCTGCATAGTTTTATGTCAACTTGACACAAGCTAGAATCATCTGAACGGAGGGAACCTCAGTTATGAAAATGCCTCCATAAGTTCTTGTTGTGGGGCATTTTCTTAATTAGGGATAGATGGGGGAGAGCCCAGCCCATTGGGGGTGGTGCCATCCCTGGACTGGTGGTCCTGGGTTCTATAAGGAAGCAGGGTGAACAAGCCATGGGGAGCAAGCCAGTAAGCAGCTCCCCTCCTTGGCCTCTGCATCAGCTCCCGCCTCCAGGTTCCTGTTCTGTGTGAAGTCCTGTCCTGTCTTTAATCCACGATGAACTGTCATGTAGAAGTGTAAGCCAATAAACCCTTTCCTCCCCAGATGGCTTTATTTATTTATTTATTTATCCGTTGATTTATTTTTGGTCATGGTGTGTTTCATTGCAGCACTCAAAACCCAACCCAAGACACGTTTTCTTCTTTTTTTCCTTCCCCTCCCTCTGAGTAGGACAGGGAAGGACAGTGGTTCTAAAATAAGGACTGAGGGTTGGACCCTGGGTGAGGGGTGGGGAGCCAGTGCAGATTTTCAGCAAGGAGCTTGCTGTGGTGCAGGCACCAACAAGAGTTCCTGGCTATAGAGGTTGGAACAATTATAACCGGGTGAAAATGGAAGTCAGAGATAGCAGTAGCCCTGAGCCCCGGAACTCTCCACCACCAGTAACTCTTTAAGATGGGGAGAATACAACCAAGGACATTGAGAAGGAACAGCAGAAGAGGGTAGAGAGCAAGGCAGAGATGAGCCTATGAGCCACGCACAGGCCTATAACGCCAACACTTGGGAGGTAGAGGCTGAAGATTCGGATTAGGCATCTACGTAGATGTATAAAGTCTGTGTCTTACTCTGACTTTATAGAAAAGGGAGCAGACCGCTTAAAAGGATGACTCATTAAAAAATATAGCATTATATTGTTAATATTTTTCCATATTAATGTTCTTTAAAATATTAGTTTTTAAAAACTGTGCATTCTGAGCCCAACTCCTGGAATCCAGTTGTAGAGAGGGAGGAGTGATGAGCAAAGGGTTCAAGACCATGCTTGGAAAACCCACAGAAACAGCTGACCTGAGCAAGTGGGAGCTCATGGACCCCAGTCTGACAGCTGGGGAACCAGCATTGGACCGAACCAGGCTACCTGAATGTGGGTGCCAGTGGGGAGCTTGGGAAGTCTATGGGGCCACTGGCAGTAGAACCAGTATTTATCCCTTGTGTACGAATGGGCTTTTGGAGCCCATTCCTTATGGAGGGACACTCTCTCAGCATAGATACAGGGGAGAGGGTCTAGGTCCTGGTGTAAATGATGTTTCAGACTTTGATGATCCCTCATG